CCCCCCCCCCGTGCAGATGCCAGCCAGATGTTGGGCGGCTGGGCTTGTTCTGTCCAACGCGGGCTTGCAGTAGCCCTTTTCCCGCGGTTCCTAATCTGCTGCTTCAATCGCTTCCCAGAGGGGGAAATAACCGTGAACAGCACCCACCCACCCCGTGCATGGCATAAAGCTTCTCCTTTGAACGCGAAAGAAAAGATCGTTTCCCCAATCCGGGGCACCCAAAGGTGCTTTTTTTTCCCCAAGAGGTGACTGGACTTTCTGGGGGGGGGGGTTGTTTGTTTGAAGACGTATTGCTTCTCATCCAAGAAGCTTCTTCAGCTCTGACTGGATGGTGGAAAATGGAAGGATTTATATTCCTTGCAGACAGCCGCTGCTTTGCATCCTTTTAGACAGTCGTTGAGGCCACTTGGAGGTTTATCTGTGTCATCAGGGTCACCTGAGTGGTGCTCCTGGTTACTGTAGTCTACAAGGAACCAGGTGACTCTTAAGGATACAGGATGGAAATGACCCGCTGTCTGCAGGGAATATAAATCCTTCCATTCTCCACTGTCCTGTCAGGGCTGAAGAAGCTTCTTGGTTGAGAAGCAAAACGTCTTCAAAGAAAAGCAAAGAAAGTCCACAGTTGCTTCTTGAAAAAGCACCTTTGGGACAACCATGACCTGGGTGACTGAGAATCTCCATAGAATCCAGGGCAGTTTTCCAGCCCTCCTGCGTCTCTCCTGGCGTATCTTGTCCTGGGAAGGAGGAAGTGCTTGGAATCTGCTTGAAAGGGCAAAGTATCCAGTTAATATGGTAGTTGCCAGGTAGGCAGATTCCCTCGCCCCAGTTCCCCTGGCAGGGACCATCTACAGAGATTCTCAATCATCCACATCATGGTTGTCCCAAAGTTGTTTCCCCCACCAAAAGCTTACTGGATTTGGGGGGTTCTCCCCCCCTTGAAAAGTTTCAGTCCTCAACCAAGGAGCTTCATCAGTTCTAACTCCAGTTCTTTAGTTAGAAGTGAAGAAGCTTCTTGGGTGAGAAGCCAAATGATTTTTCAAAGGAGAAAGAAAGAACACAATAATAACTATTGTCACTTCAATGTACACTAATCGGCATACATTAAAATGAAATTTCGTTGCATATAGTTCTCAAAGGGTCACCATGACTAAATAAGTAAGTAAGTAAATAAATAAATACATAAATAAATAAATAAATAAATGAAGTATATACCCACGTATATGGCACAGAAGAAGAGAAGAAAGAAAAGAAAATCCAGTTGCCTTTTGGAAAAAGCACCTTTGGGATCTCCCCCCCCCCCCCCCCCCAGGGGAATAAATCCTTAATGAAAGACACATCGAGTCAATTACTCTGGGAGTCTAATTGACAAGCGGATGAATTGGGCTAAATTGTTTCACTTATTTTTCAAGATGTGTTTTGGAGTATTTACACTTCATTAAAAAAATTGGAGCAATGGTATAGAACCGTGATGGCTAAACTTTTTAGCACCAAGTGCCCAAAGTGCATGTGCATGTACTCCCAAAATATGACACACGCATGTGCCCTGTGCATGTGCCTTGCTCCCCCACAAGCATGCACAACCCCCCCCTGTGTGTGCGCATGACCCCTGCACCCATGTCCCGTTGCCCCATGTGCTTTACTCCCCCTCATGCATGCGTGGCAGAGACCCAAAGACCATCTGGCCAGTGGAAGGTGCGCTCTGGGGTGACAGCTTGCATGCCCTGAGAGAGGGCTCTGTGGTGCCACCTCTGGCACACGTGCCATAGGTTTGCCATCACGGGTATAGAGTGCAGTGCTGTTAATCAGGACTGGGCAAAGAGCCCCTGAGCAGCAATTCCATGCTGACCAGACCAGACTTAATGGCTAATTGATGGCAGCCTTACCTGGTTGCCCCCATTTTAAAAAAATTCTGCAATGAGAAGACATCAGAAACAGTCACAGATGCAATAGTCCTCTCCAGTTAGGCATTTCATAGACTTTATAGACACTTGTCCCTCCTTTCAGTTAATTATGTGCCCTTACATAATTTTAATACCTTGATGTAGGGAGAAATTTTGGCTGTGAACATCACTTGCACATGTATATCTCTAACTTGATGTTTATGCATATTCAGTGAAGATCTAGACTAAAATGAGTCCCCATGCATTTGTGTTCCAAAGAAAACATTTCAAGAATGCTTGCTTTGATCTGATAAACAACCCAGTCCTCCGAAATCTCACTCCTATTGGTGCAGTGCTGTACTCTGCTGTGCTATCTTAGAGTAACAGAACTTAACAGTCCACAGTTTTGCAGTTAACCATAAACATGCATTAGAAGATTTGGGATGAAATTAGCATGTACAGCAAGATAGAATATAAGCAAATTTATTACATATTACAGCTTAAAGCTGTTTATATAAAATTATATGTATACCAAAGTTTTATACCTCAGATAAGATTTGCTCTAATGGTTAAGGCACCAGGCTAAAAAGTGGGAGAGTGAGTTCTAGTCCCTCCTCAGCCATGAAAGCTGAGTGGGTGGTCTTGGGCCAGAAACTACCAACCTAAATCACCTCACAGAGTTGTTATTGTGGGGAAAATAAGAGGAGGAAGGTGTGTTGGATGTGTCCACCGCCTTGAGTTATTATATTATTATTTTAAAAATAAAGGAGAATACACATTACTAAAAAAAGATGAAAGCTTTGATTGAATGTAGGCTGTACCTTTTCTTCAAGGCTGTTTCTTAAAAATTGGCTTCATTCAAGTATTCTAGTATATATTAACAGACTTTTCATGATCACAACTATAAATATGAATATTGCAAACTTTATCTCAAGAATTTTAATTATATGACTCGTCTATGTGTCTATATACTATGAAAATTCTCGTGTCTGGTTGTAATTTTAAATTGGGTGAAATGGTGTATCACAGAGCAACCATTTTTGAATCAACGTGCCTCAAATGGGCTAATTTACAGAATGCATCCATGGTATTAGTACAAATAGTAATTTCTGTATAATTCCCTTTTCAGTTTTTGAATGAGCCTCAATGATTATGGATCCAGGTGGTGGAAGTCTTGGCTTGCAGACACAAGAATCCAAAATGCCTCACACTATGATTATGCAGGATTTTGGTAAAACCATTTTATACTCACACAAAATTATTATTATTAAAGTATTTGCTTATCAGGTGTATTGTATTCGTAAATGAATAATCTGCAGCATTGGTGCCAAAATTGACATGGATTTGGTTTATTTTTGGACAGGCTCGTGGGGTTGACTTCCTGCTGTCTCTCCAATGCATGCTTACAAAGAAAACCACATTCGGGTGTGGAAGTATAGTGCCCGCTAATGAAATCATTCCTCTGAATTTGATAATGTGGCCAAATATTTTAAACAATACCACTGTATTAAATTTCTGAAATCAAGTTAATTCGAATACACTTGGCCCTAGAAGGCAGCTAACGTTCTAGCTGAGCCACGGTGGCGCAGTGGTTAGAATGCAGTATTGCAGGGTGCCTCTGCTGACTGCCGGCTGCCTGCAATTTGGCAGTTCGATCTTGACCAGCCCAAGGTTGACTCAGCCTTCCATCCTTCCGAGATTGAGTAAAATGAGGACCCTGATTGTTGGGGAAAACATGCTGACACTGGAAACCGCTTAGAGAGGGCTGTAAAGCGGGATATAAGTCTTAAGTGCTCTTTCTAACACAAATATTTAAAATGCTCAGTCTAGCCTGCAGGCCGGGTATTTCCTAGTAGACTAATTGAGTCCCAACAATTATTGTCATATTTGCATCTAGCTGCAGCATTCTGTTATTACATCTTTTAAAGTTGATGATAAATATACTGGAAAGCTAGAGAATAATTTGGATGCACGTGCAGTATTCACGAGCTCCTTAGGAATATGCAATGGTTCGACCTGAAAACAAGTATTAATATGCTTCCTCGTACATTATTGTTTCCTAGTGGCTGGAATGGCTGGTACCGCTCATATTGATGGAGATCACATTGTGGTGTCAGTCCCTGAAGCTGTACTGGTTTCAGACGTTGTCACAGATGACGGGATCACCCTTGACCATGGCTTGGCAGCTGAAGTTGTCCAAGGACCTGATATCATAACTGAAACTGACGTTGTGACGGAAGGTGTGATCGTACCTGAATCTGTCCTGGAAGCAGATGTTGCTATTGAAGAAGCATTAGATACCAGTGATCACGTTTTAACTTCTGATTTAATCACCGAAACTGTTAGAGTGCCCGATCAAGTTTTCGTAGCCGATCTTGTTACGGGTCCTGATGGACACTTGGAACACGTGGTTCAAGATTCGGTATCAGGGCCTGATTCCCCCACGATGGTATCTGAAGTTCTTGTGACGAATTCAGATACCGAAACTGTGATTCAAGCAGCCGGCACCGTTCCTGGATCCACAGTGACCATCAAGACTGAGGATGATGACGATAGCAAGAGCACGTCTGAAGACTATTTAATGATATCTTGTAAGTGAAGTAAAGGTATATATAAAATCATCTACTCAGACTAGAAGTGACTTAACAACGAGAGATGTAATTGTGTAGAAATGCTGGGTTTGGTTGTTTCAAGTAAGACGTTATAAATGAGTTAACAAACGAGCTGGTAAAAGAAATAAAGAGGAAATTGGAAATGTTTAGGCTTTTAAACAATTCTAAGCTTGCATATATTGTCTCAGCTAAGAATAATGGTTGTACTCATGGGTGGACTGATTGCTTGTATCAGTTTCCACTTGAATTTCTTTTTTTTCAGTCCTTAACTATAGTTTACAAGTATGTTAAGCTTGTAGTATTACAACAACAAAAACTATAGTTGAAAGTTGGCTACAAAAGTAACTGTGGTTGACATTAAAATAGCTAAATATGTGAAGCCAAAAGGAAAGAAGGATGAAAAAACAGCCATCAAATCTCTTTACCTTGGTTAAAATCAACACAAAAATTATTTCTGTATTATTGTTTAACCATAAATATGATTTACAAACAAAAAAATTTCTATATTAAAGAATGAAAATTGTGACTAATTTGAGGACTGTTCCAGCAAAATATTTTCATTCTGCTTGTGCAGTCTACCAACTATTACATTGTTTAATTGTTTTGTATTTTATAGAAATAGATATTTTACATATTAAATAGAAATTACTTTTCTCCTAAAAGTGAAGTGTTGTAAATAGTAAATCTGTCATACTGATGAAATTTTGCTTTTTACTTCAGTCAAAAGAGTTTATGGTAAGAATATAATATTTTTCGTACCCATGAAAGAGTGAAAGCTTTGTACAGTTCGCTCATGACTAATCTGGTCGCTTTTGAAGTAAAGAGAATATTTTTCCAAATAAAATAAATGTATTTGAAAAAAAAAAGGTCCATGTTTAAAAAAGTACATTTTTAAACCTCTTTCCCTAAAAGGTTGGACTTAATGATCCTGGGAATTTTCCCAGCTCTGCAATTTCATGATCTAGGATTGATAGTGACCGATGGCAATAATTCAGGAAAAATAGCAATTTAGTGTGGAGAAAAGAAAGTCGCACAAAACATAAAACGCCCTCCTTTGTTTTTGTTTTTCAGGTTTGTGATGTTCAGACACCCACAATGGATTGCTAGCTTTTGAGCCATAGGATGATACTGCATGCACATGCTGGTGATCCTATACCCACTACAGAGCCACCCTGGAGCTGTCCTTTAGGGATAAGGTAATATTCCACTGCCACCTCCTTTTAAGAATCTGTTACAGTACAGTATAGCAGGGGTGGGCAACTTTTTCTCGGCACTGAGACATTTCCCCTCCCTCGCTAACCGGCTGGCCTTGCCTGCATCCAATTGGATCCCACTGCCTTCAATCATGTCAGTAGCACAGTTGGGCACGGTGGTGGAGTATTTTGCTACCAGTCCCCAGGGCACAAGAGTTACAATGCGGCTTACAGCCACTCTATACTGTAGCTCGGCAGAAATGGGCCCTGAAATGAGCGGTTGCACCACATTTTGACACGTTGGCCAAAAGTTATTCACCCCTGCAATACAGCATTGCATAGTCTGCTACAGCTATAAGTAAAATCCTATTCTGTTCCCTTCTGAGAAAGCAATTAGGAAAGTCAGATTTTTAAAATAAAATAAAATAAAATTGCACAGCTGTAAATTTTGGCATGTATCTCATGGTTTTATGGTGGGTGTGATATCACCAGCATAGTGCATGCTGAGACACCACATGAATTGGGGAGCTGGCAATCCACAGTGAATCTGAACATCTCATACCTGGAAACAGCTAAGAAAGGTAAGTTAGAGGTGGTTAAGACTTCCATATAATTTTTTCTTTGCCGGTGGATATTCCTTACTATTTCTGCAGAAAATTATTCCTTACGATTGCCTGGGTAATCACAATAATAGAACATTAATAATCAAAGGAAATAATTGGGCTTTTCCCTCAAGTTTATGTGTGGTCAGGAAATAATATTCTGGAATTATAATTTGGTTAAGAATGAATGTGGAGTTGAACGTTTTTTTAAACTTGTCCTGTAGGTTTACAAATCTTATGTTGAAGTCTGTAAACCACATTTTGTATTTTCTTTAACAGAAAGTTGTTAAGGTGGGAAAATGCATTGACGTATGAGTTTTATATCTAGCTTGTATACATTTACTGTATTTTTTGTACTCTGCCACCCCTCAAAGTGGCTGGAAATGTCTGTGCGTCTTATACAGCGAATGTTGCCAAAGACCCACCCACCTACCGCCTCCCACCCTTCGGCTTCTGCCTCCCAGCAATTTTCAGCCTCCGTGCACACCGTATTTGGCCCGTTCCAATCCCCGCTGCCCAGAACGGGCCAAAAACGGGGTGCGCGGAGGCGGCAATAGGCAATGACGATCCCTGCAGCCTGAAACAGCTGATTGTGGGGAGCCAGTCTAACCGACATTCAGCTGCTTGTACTAATCAGGCTGTGCTGAAGCTGACCAGGCTGTTTGCTATTTGCTGCAAGGAGGCAAGTTGCTGGGAGGCAGATTTTTTTTTTCTTGTTTTCCTCCCCTTATACTTCAGAGCATCTTATAGTCTGAAAAATACGGTAATTCTGGAATCCCTTGAATAAATGGTGCATAATGTTGATAAATAAATAAATTATATATTTTATATATATATATATATATATAAAATTAACAGATATCAAGTTTGAGATTAAAGGTAGTGCATTACAATATACATATATGAAAGCATTATTGACACATGCAATATGTTTCTTAGTATATATCACCATTTTTATTTACAGCTTCTCCCCCAGGACTATAGTATTTGTTCCAATATATACTTTTCCAACATTTCCCTGTGTCCCTATGGGTTATATGCATCATAAACTTTCAGCAGTGATCAGATAGGTGAATCTAGAAAGTATATACCCTCCCATGTTTTATCTGTAGTTATTAGAAAAATGGGTCATAGCTAAAATCAAGTTGAAATCATTGCATTTTGATAAATTGCCTTAGCATTATGTTCCTGCTGTATTGAGAACATTTAATATTAAAGAATTTTATTTAGCCAGTATTGTTTAGTACAAGACACACTTGAAGACTTGGAAGTGTTATATTATCCATTGCAATATTTCTGCTGATGCCCTTTAGGCATGATATTTTACTGATATTTGGAAAAATGTGTTTTAGGGAGATAGGATTTACTTTGTGTATTAAGTACTGCAGTTTATCCTAATGTGTGTTATAGCTGCAGTTTTTATTTTGGTTGGGAATCATTAGGGTCTTCATTAATATGATGATTATTCTTTCTAATAAGCCAGAATTTGAAACTAAGGTTTATAATTAATGACAACTTGACTTGTCAGAATAATGGTAAATGGGAAATTAAATGGAGTTGCAATGTTAATTTTTCCCATTCTTTTCAGTTTAATTAATTTGGTAAATGAATGACTCTGGGGACTTTATTTTAGTGTTTTAAGTCATTTGACATACCTTAGAAATCATAAAAAGAACCTTGTTCTTTGATATTTTTATGAATGGGATTAAAGCAGTGACTATGAATTTGCACAATTGGTTTATTGTTATTCAAACAGGATGTATAGAAGAATAAACCTTAAACCTTGGAAGAAGGAAACTATCACAATACAATAGAGAAAACCTTCATAGGTTTATGTATATTATTTTTCCTTCTCATTTTTGTTTTTCTACATCTTTCTTCTAAATGCTTCACTGTTTTGTCTGGAATCCTTTTTATTAGGCCAACAGCATTTGCGTATCCCTATCCAATGTTGCATAGAATCGTTGTAACATTCCAAATGTTTCTCTGCACTCTTATTTTTAGAGGAAAATAAATGAAAATGTAACATTTCAAACATTTCAAGAGATTACTCCATTAAAAAAAAAAAAGAGCGCTTTGTAGCAATCCATTCTTAAATATTTTGGATGGGCAGTTTACACAGCACTGCTTGAAACTTCGCAATGGTGTGACTCTTCCCCCTCTCCTGTGTATGAATGAGAATTCGAGAAAATCTTTAAGCCCAGCCTGGCAGGAATGCTATGTGTGTTTGTGTGTGTGTGTGTGTGCGCACGCATGCACATAAAAAGTCAAGTCAAACCCTCAGAAATATTACACCAAGTTTTCAGAGATAGAGAAGTATTTGAAAGATTCCTTTCTCTGTGCTAGCAACAAAAATCCTTCCTTCTGTCTGTACATACCGACATATCCCAAAAGCAAATCCCACTCGTGAATTAACTCTCCTATTAAAATAACAGGTTTGTTGCCTGTTTATAAATCTACCTACCAGTCCAGCATTTCCCTACGATCTCAGTATGCAACCTCTTTGTGTGCTTAATGTTGTCTGTCTGCAAACTGAGGGAGGGAGGAAGATTTGTAAGCCTCTGTGAAACAGCTTTTTTGCAAATTCAGATATGGAGGTTGCCTGGGCCAAACGACTTGAATTTTATTAGCTTTTGTTTTTCAAAAATTCATTAGGAAATGCCAGCAACACTGAGTTCAGTCATACGAGTTTAATTTTGTAATGGTTAAGAGTCGTGATACTGATAACTTTTTTTAAAAAAAGTGACATGATTAGCTTTTTAATTTCTATTTAGTTCTGTTTTCAGTAGCTCCAGCATTGTTCTGACCAGTTTACAGCCTTCTGAAATACAAGTTCATCAGTGGCACCCAAAACTGCAGCAGTTTTAGCAGGTATCATTAAATGACATCTAGCACCAGGCAATACGGGCACATATAAAGCAAAAATGTTTGTATATTTGTGTAAAAGCAAGAATTTACCTTTGATCTTTGCTTGCTTCCCTGAAAGAACTAACACCTATAAAAGAGCTTGTCATCCAGCTGACTATTGCATGGAAATGCAACCTTAAAACAATTTCTTTCCTCCAGCTTCCAGCAAAAGTAAATTCTATTAAATTTTCTTAAGATAAATCATGTGGATCTTGTAGTACTGTTAATGGTGCTAAAAGGAAACTCTGCTCTTGACTATGATCATAGAAGAGTCTGAAAGAGTCAAAAAGTAAAGAGTAGGCCCAAAGCATTCTTCTTTTCTCCAATATGAATATATTCTCCCCCTCCCAAGAGTTTACTTCGGTACCTTCAGTTTTATTTCTGGATCATTTTGAAACAAGAGATCCTGTTGAGAATCGATTAACATGCTTGACTGAGAAAGACCTCTGTCGATAAATTAAAATTAGTGTGGTTAAACCTAACTTTGATTAAGGGGCAGGGAAGAAATGCGGAAGAGATTGCGTAATTTATTGCTTTCTGACCCCCGACCCAAAATGAAAATAGACCCGTCATCAATTCATTCAGTTTCACTATTCTGCATCAGTAATAATTTCATCTTGTGGAATACCTTCTTATGTAAAGGAAGTGATGTCTGTGTGAATAAACATTAACTAACACTTTACTGGAAATGTTGCAGGTTTTTCAAAGGTCAAACCAATATGATTTTCCTTTTTAAAAAACAAAGCAAAAAATTATAACATGGGTAAATCCCTCATTTCTTATACGTTCTAAAATGCAGACCAATTAAATACGAAATACCCAAGCAATGCAAAATACCCATGCCTTATTTAATCGCTTAATCAGACATTGTGATATTGATATATTTCTACAGCATACTTAACTGATTCTTTCCAATGGTGAAATCATTTTGATTTACTAAAATAATAAATTATCAAGTTACAGTGGATATACTTATACCATGTACAATCTTCAGAAATTAAACAAGTGCAGAGTGATTGGTGTGTATGCCAGCATCTAATGCAGCCAAGTTCTTATTTGCATAAATGAGCTAAGATTCTCAGAATATTTTCTTCATATTCTGCTTCAAACTTAACTTCGGTTCTTATTTGTTTTTTTAGTGGATGATGTTGGGGAAAAATTAGACCACATTGGAAATACTCCTCTAAAAATCAGCACTGAAGTTTCACACGGTGATGTATCTAAAGATGATGGATTTGGCTCTGAAGTTATTAAAGTTTACATATTTAAAGCCGAAGCTGAGGATGACGTTGAGATAGGTATGTATCTTAAACATAGGTCCATGAAACAGTCCATAAACGTTAAATAAAATCTTGTCTGCTAATTTTCATAAACTAAATCGTTCTTTGTAATGGTTCCTGTTAATTAGAGTTTCCATCCAACCAGTTTAAAGGAGGCAGACACTAAATCAAACTAAAAGCTGGCCCATAGATTTCAAACTGCAGTACATGAAATGACCCATTCTCTCCCACCCATCTTCTTCTAGAGGCTTTTAGTGTTCCCAAGCCTTGGATGGCTATCTTTATTTTTTCCTTCCCGTCCTGCGTTTAAATGTGTCATAGTGCTTAACAGATTAAGACCATCCTATTATCTGTTGTCCCTAAAAATGTGTTGACTCCTGTTATGCCCCAAACACAGAAGAAAAATAGCGAGATTTTACTGTTCTTGTTAAAAGTCTACCACTTGAATATTATTTTTTCTATTCAAGGGGGAACAGAGATTGTAACGGAGAGTGATTTTCATAATGGACACTCTGTAGCTGGAGTTCTAGAGCAAGGCAGCGTTGGCAGAGTCCAGCGAGAGAAGATGGTTTATATGGCTGTTAAGGATTCCTCCCAAGAGGATGAAGATATTAGTAAGGACAGCTTTCTTTTTTGCTATTATTAAGTAAACAATTTTGTAATTTCTCTCCATTACTAAACGATCATTCTAAGTTTCAGAAGATTAACAAGTCAACAAGTTTTCTCATCTTTCCCACCTCTGTAATTATGACAAATTTTGCATGTAGAAAAGAGTTATGTGCACTTTTACACAAGCTTTAATACAAGCAATTGCAAAAAACATTTTGACAAAAACTGTGGCCTAATAAATACGATGTTGCCTCATGGCTGACTTGATCTGTTTGCATGTGTGACTGGCAGAAAATAATATATTTCTTGACATTTACATGGAACTACTGGCAATGCCAGATACGTTTTGTGAAATGTCTGAAGAAAAGTATTTAGTTCTACATGTACCAAAGATAATACTTTTATGTACGCTTCGCCAATTGTCAGTATTCACTGTTATTATTTTGCTTTTCCAATTTATCTAACGCTATGTTAATGTCTAAATATCAATAATTTCTGACAGTAGTTTGCATATTTTACTTGTCTGTTCAGTATTTAAAATATGTTGAAGCCAGTGAGAAGCAAGATAAGAACATAACACAATTACCAAGATATCTAAGAGTATTGTCTTTGTAACTTTCATTTTTTTAGACAAAAATTGTTGTTAGTTGCAAAGTCATGTCCGACCCATCATGACCACATGGACAATGTTCTTCCAGGCCTTCTTGTCCTCTACCATACCACCCATTTTTAATATTAAAAATCTAAACCTTATGATTGTTTCCATTACATGTTTTATTTCAGCCATGTACTTATCTAGATAGATAAGCTAGCCAGTAGCCAAATTATTGGCTTACATACAGTATTGTAAAGTGTAACTTAGACAATTAACTGCTTTGAAAATATTAAGTGCTAAAATGATATTTTAAAATGCATAATTTAATTATATGATTGTGAGTGAATTAAAAATCACTTTACTATAGTGCTTTTCTACTTAGGAATTATCCTTAACTTCTGCAATATAAAAGCACCATAATTTTAAGCAGATTTGTTTAAAAGTATTTGTGGTTTTTTTTAAAAAAAATAAATATGCTTACAGCAGAAGCCTTAATAATACAGTAGAAAAGTTGATTCAGAACAATTTTGTATGGTGATTTATTCCATACAAATCCAGACAGCGGTTTTAAGTAGATGTTAATTGAGCTAGGATAAAGTAATTACATCATCCTCATTTCAGCCCCTGTCTATCCACTGCAAGGCCTCTTCTGCGCGGTTCCAACCAATACCACCCTGAGCTTTCTTTGGCCAAATGGGCCCACTATACTTGCTGATGTTGTTCCATCTTATTTTTAACGGTTAGGATTTAGGCTTATGAAAAGTAGCTACATAAACAAAATAATTAATTTCGCCTCCTTTCAAATCACATCTAGGCTGTGCTGAAATAGCAGATGAAGTTTACATGGAGGTAATTGTTGGCGAAGAGGAAGCCAACTCACTTCCGGATGCACAGCTTGAAGATGCTGGTGTGAATAAAACTTTTGTTCCAGTTGCCTGGGCTGCTGCTTATGGTATGAAGCGACTTTTTTCTTTTAACTCGATCTCTTTTCCTCACTCCACTTACTCCTTCTAGAGCCTTGCTCATGTCACGGAGGGTTGTTGGTTTTTTTTTTTTATCCCATCTCTTTTCATCTAAAGTCAAGCCTCCTTCAAGTCAAACTTGACTTTTGGTGACTGACATCTTCCGGTTGACCTCTTGGTGTTAGAAAATAAGGCCTTCTGATTTTGTTCAAACCACCCATTTTGTTACATTTAAATGTTCTAAAACATTTAACCTTCAGAAAGTGATTAATTCCCCAATTTCTTTCGAATCCTGGGACTTCCTCTTTTCTGTTTTCATATCAAATAATAAAAGCAGGTGACCTTATCAGCTATAATTACAGTGTCATATAAACAATGAGGTTTGGAGCGCAGAATATTTATTTGTTTGTTTGTTTATTTGATTTATATTGCCGCCTGTTCGCCCATGATGACTCAAGGTGGTTTTACAAGGTATACAACCACATTTAAAACAGTAAAACTAGTAAGAAGAATCAAATAAATTAATATAATAAAATCACTCCCCCCACCTCCCATCCCAGTGACAGAAGATCACATGAGCCATTTAATGGGCTCCATCCCGCTCTGGGTTCCCCAGGCCCGCTGGCAGAACCAGGTCTTCAGTGCCTTCCAGAAGAGAATTATTAAATAAACCAAAAGTGTTGTCCGATATCCTGGGTGCTCTGTTAGAGTCTGTGATGCTGGTCTTGTGGGTCAGTGCTTTTGTGTATGTTGGGTGTGCGTATCTATGTGTATACTCCTTATGAAAGAGACGCTGGAGGTTGCCAGGCAGGTTTGTTTAGTTCATGCACTGACTTCTGTTTATGATACTATAAACAGAATGATACTATAAACAGAATATCTGAAGGCCACTTGTTGCTGTTTTATCTGCCTGACATAATTATACTCATAGCATAAAGTGGGTTTTTGGACATCAAAGCGTAATTTTTTTTCTTGGAAGCAATAGACAGGAAACCTTATTATTAAATACAAAATACACGATTGTGTTTTGGTTTTGCTTGGCACTCTTTGGAATCCTTACAAAGAAAGTTTTGGCAATGAATTACTCCTTGTTTTCTCTTTCAACTATTTTACTGTAGCAGCGCACAAACTATTACGTGTGTGCAAAACCTCTTCTTTTTCTTCTGGATCAAGGAGATCCAGTCAGCCATTGCAAGGACAGTCTTCTGGTATTCTCTCATTAAAACAGGGCCCAGTTTGGGCTTGGACTGCATCCAGAACACCAGAAATTACCCCCACCCCAAAAATAGCTTCAGAAAACTTCTGGGGGAGCACGTTCCAGAAGAGAAACAGAATATAATGAACTTCTTGGGAATGTTCTGTTCCCAGAATGATAGATATGGCACATCCCTACTGTCTGTGAATTAAATCACTAAACTGCTTATTCCTCTAGGGGATGATAGAAGACTTCCTAGGAAATATGAAGACTGTCAAACACCAGGTGAGAAGATGAAGAATTGTTCGTGCTTAGTATAAATATTGCTCTTTCTGCTACATAACACAGAGCAGTCTATGTCTTTGAGAATAACTTAAATTTGAAAAGGGGCGGGGGAGGAAATATTAATACATACAGATGCTATTAATACATAGAGATACTTTAATATAGCTATCGAGGGTTGCAACCATGGGTGCCACTATATCAGGTAATAAATATGAGAACAATTAGTGAAATACTTATTTTCCTTCATCTGAGAAAATTCCAAAATACAATGCAAATATAAGAGCAGTAAACTATTGCGTTCTATATGATGCATTAAAGCAGGGCTGTCAAACTCACAGCTCGCGGGCTAGATGCATCACATGCTGGCCATGCCCAAGCCTGGTTTAGCAAGGCGGGGGAAGTCGCGATATGTCACTTGATGCTTGACGGGTGTGACACCCTTGCATTAAAGAGAAGTTTGAAGGGACTCTGGGGTTCTGGCATCATAAAATAGAATCCTTTCACACATCAAAGGCTCTGTAAATGCTTTTGGCTTTAGTTCTGTAAATCAGGTATTTTAAAACTCTTATTTGCAATATTCTGATGTTGTCTTTCATTCCAGGAACAAACTTGGATGCAAGATTAGAGAACAAGAATGGTAACACAACTCAGTATCTCCAAATCTGTGACAGCATTAATACGAACAGATTGCTTAAGCAGAAGACTAAGAAAAGGAGAAGAGGTGACGCCCGCCAATGGCAAACAGGTAAAACAGCTTTCTAAAAAGTTATTGTTCAATTAAATATAGCTTTTAACAAAGCTAACATTTCGACTTCTGTGAGGTTTTTTTGGCAAAAAAACAAGTAGGGGTTTTTTTGTACAGTCTCTTAAGCACTTCCTATTATCATCTTCCCAGCAAGTTTTGAAACTATTTAGTATAACCTACTACCAATTGCTTTGGGTAAAAGCAAGTTTTCTTGTTGTGAGACTCCCCGTCCGTCTCTTTGAGGATATACCCTATTAATTAACATGTGTGCTTTGATTACAGGCCATGATTTTCTCCTTCATGTTTTCCCCTAAACTTTTAACCACCTTGCTTGATAAGACATTCTTAAAAACTTGAAAGGGTACAATTTTTATAAATTTTATATTGGGCAAACAAAAGTAGTGTTTCAAAACGGTCTTTGAATTTAAGCCAGAGGTGATTTCTATACCATACTTTTCACTTGGTAAGCCTGCAACAGCTGCTACCAGCCTGATAAGTCAAAATAGAAGAAATGTTTGGAAATGACAAAGAGGCAATTCATTTGTCTTTTCCTGTTTTATACATGCAAAGCCATCATTAAATTATATTTAATATCCATTCTTGAAAGCATAAATAGAACACTAAACTTGAGCTTTTTAAATAGTTTGTTTAGGAGCCAATTACGTTGCAAATGAAAGAACAACATTTTCTGATACCTATAATGCATGTGCACAGCTCAATAGAAATTTTCACTTTATAATGGAAAATAAATTACATATTGAATAGAGGGTATCTAATGTTTAGATCATCAAGTTATATTTATTTTTTTATTTTTATTTTTTTGTATTTTTTTTTAAATTTATATACAAAAATCCATTCCATTTCAGTCGTATGTCAATTAGGTACATATTCAAATTACTTAACCATTATTATTAATAATCTTCTTATTAAACTTAACAACATAACAAAAATCACATTCCCATATATATAATATAAATGAAATCTAATATGTCTATTACATTAGTTTCTCTTATTGCTTTATAACAATGGATATTGTTTTATCCATTGATAAAACAAATCCCATACCATATAATATTCAGATTCTTCTTTTTCTTTAATTTCTAGTGTCAGTCTATTCATTTCTGTGTATTAAAATATTTTTTCAATTATTTTTCCCTCTATCGGTATCTTACCACTCTTTCAGTTTTGCGCAAATACAATTGTAGCTGCTGTTAAAACATGTATAATTAAATAAGTCTTTTCTTTACTATAGCCTTCTGGTACCATTCTTAGTAAAACTACTTCAGGCTTCAGATCTATGTGTTATTTAATCATTTTTCCAACCATTGTGTATTTTAGTCCAATACCTTTTAAGTTATGTGCAAGTCCAAATAGTTACATTTATTAATGTATAGAAAAAAGATGTTAGTCAAGAGATGTGTCTTTTTTTAAATGTTTAATGAATCCAGGAGCATCTGCAGGTAGCATTGAAACAGGTAAGATGACAGTCATAGTATCATAATCCACACAGATATTGCACCATGTCAAAAGGAGGGGCCTTTGACCACGATCCTCTGTTATACTTTTGATCCTTCATGGAGATCCCCAATTGTGTTAAAAATTGTGTATGTCAGATTTTGGAGGGTAAATACAATATGTTCTTTGTAGAATAGGAAAAGAGTGTTAAACCAACATTCGGTTATAGAAAATTAACTTTGTTAAAGAAGATAGAATAGATAAACTAATACATGTTTTGGGAAAACTTCAAAACTAATTACTGATTTGAAATGATAGGTCTTAATTCTTTAAATTTAAATTTTTAAAAGTTTGTTCTGTAATATAAACTATAGATTATTTTAGAGGATTAGAATTGGGAATATGCTGAATTGTTTAGTGGAATGAGTTCCTAGGTACATTTGCAACATTTATAGCTGTATAGAACTACGGTATCATTTAAAACGTGATTTTACCCTTAGAGGATTGTCAATTTTTATAAGAATTTTGATTGTCACTTTTTGCAAACTAATACATATTTTTCCTAGAAGTAAAGTCTCATTTAATTCAACAAAACTTTTACCTCTGAGTAGTTCTATTGTGTGTTGGTTTGCTGTTGAAAGATTTGCTTTCTTTTATGTTGCTATTGCATTCTGTGTAACTTCACAATAATTTGTACGTAATTTATTTCATAATTCTTTCTGTTTGTTTGAACCAGCTGTTATAATAGGTCCCGACGGACAGCCCTTGACAGTCTATCCTTGTCACATATGCGGGAAAAAATTCAAATCCAGGGGATTCTTGAAAAGGCATATGAAAAACCATCCGGATCATATGATTAAGAAGAAATACCAGTGCACAGACTGTGACTTCACAACCAACAAAAAAGTCAGCTTCCACAATCACCTGGAGAGCCATAAGCTGATCAACAAAGGGGACAAAACGCACGAATTCACCGAGTACACCAGGCGCTACCGAGAAGCCAGCCCGTTGAGTTCCAACAAACTCATCTTGCGGGATAAAGAACCCAAACTGTACAAGTGCAAATATTGTGACTACGAAACGGCGGAGCAAGGCCTGCTGAACAGGCACCTGCTCGCAGTTCACAGCAAGAACTTCCCCCACGTTTGCGTGGAATGCGGGAAAGGCTTCCGCCACCCTTCGGAGCTGAAAAAACACATGCGGACCCACACAGGGGAGAAGCCTTACCAGTGCCAGCATTGCGTCTTCCGTTGCGCGGATCAGTCCAACCTGAAGACGCACATCAAAACCAAGCACGGGACAGACCTGCCCTTCAAATGCGAACACTGTCCGCAGGCCTTCCCCGACGAGAAGGAGCTGCAGCAGCACACGGAACTCTTTCAGGGGCACAAGACGCACCAGTGCCCGCACTGCGACCACAAGAGCACCAACTCCAGCGACCTAAAGCGGCACATCATCTCGGTGCACACGAAGGACTTCCCCCACAAGTGCGAGGTCTGCGAGAAAGGTTTCCACCGGCCCTCGGAGCTCAAAAAACACAGCGAGACCCACAAAGGGAAAAAAATCCACCAGTGTCGGCACTGCGATTTTAAGACTTCCGATCCTTTCGTACTCAGCGGGCACATCCTCTCCGTTCACACCAAGGACCTGCCTTTTAAATGCAAACGGTGTAAGAGGGGGTTCCGGCAGCAGATGGAACTCAAGAAGCACATGAAGACCCACAGCGGGAGGAAAGTCTACCAGTGTCAGTATTGCGAATACAGCACGACGGACGCCTCCGGCTTCAAGCGGCACGTCATCTCGATACACACCAAGGACTACCCTCACAGGTGCGAGTATTGTAAAAAGGGCTTCCGGAGGCCTTCGGAGAAAAACCAGCACATCATGAGGCATCACAAAGAAGCTCTCGTGTAGCACCCAGAGCCGCGGAAGACAATGCGATACGGGGAAGGAAAAACTCTCTTGAACTGTTTCTCCTGGTTTCAAAGCTTGATCTTAAACCATAACTTTGCATTCTTTGTATTAAAAGTCTTTAAAAAAAAAACAAAAAACAAGTATTACGGTCGACTGGGTATCTCATAGCCCTATGATTGTTGCTTTTAGGAACCTAACAAGCACTATAAAACACAGAGAGATGATGAATGTTTGGGAAAGCTGCAGGAGATCTTGAACGTCTTCTGTTGTTAGAAAGCGTTACAAAACATTATGAAGCGAACGAAAATATCAGTCCAATTCCCGTAACTCTTTAGATCAATAACGCCATTTGTCACCTTAATGAAAACCAGAAGTTCTTTCAAAGTTGTTTTTGCTAGAAAAATTATACCACAAGCAGTTTCGAACAGTGAAGTTAGATAGAAGTCAGTTATGTAGTCCTTACAATTTTTTTTTTTTTTTTAAGAAAATTGTGCTGGGACATAGTATTCGAGAAATGGGTCAAAATTTTTAAGATCTGTCTTTTTTTTTTCCCCATTTTAAAGCAATCATCACATTTCATAGGTAAAACCTTTTGTTTTCTCCCTTTCGTTGTCAATTGAGCAATTTCCAAAGTTTTCTTTCAGAGCTGCTAATCTATTTTTTACTACAGGATTATCATGTTGACAAATACAGCATTATGTTTTTTTCCGAGATCAAAAGTTTGGTGCTAGGGACCGAAACATGTATGTACATAATTTCCCTTTTTACCTGAAACTACAGCTGAATGTTTAATACGGCACATATATTAACGATTACAAGTAACTTTTGACCAACATTTTTTTAAAAAAAAGAAGTGGAAAAAAATGATAGATGCAGTTATGGGGCACTTTTTTTTTCTTTTCTTGTGAGTTCACAACCGTCCTTAAGAGAGAATATCGAGGTAGAAAAACGCCAGCCGTTGGAAAAATCCTAGAGAATCTTTCAAAAGCAGTGTTTCTGGCGAGTCAGGATCCATGGCCCTGGCTTGCTATTAATTTTTTAAAAAAATCAATATAGAAACAAAAATTGCACCTTTTAAAATAATTCATTACGAAACATATACCATGCTATAAACTTGCATTCTCAATCTGTATGGAAGTTATGTATGCAGTATTTAATCCGAACAGTAAGCTGCCACTTGAGAGCAGACATGGATTTTCAGTTTACAGTGTATACATTTGAAATACGCATCCCTTTTAAACAATGCTTTGTGTTAGCATGCTGCAAAAATGCCGCTTAATATAACAAGCTGGTCTAGGGCTATTTAATAATTTTAAAAAAACCTTCATAAATGTTATACATACGTGTCCTTTTTTTAAAAAAAACCCGTTTTTAAGTTGCTTCATGTTTGCACACAGCTGTTCACATGATAAAATTGTAACTTTACTTCATTCATGCTACTATATTGTGGTTTTGTGTTTCAGATAATGTTCATACTTTGTTTTTGCACCAGATGAGAATCAGTTCCTTGAGAATAATTTTTTTATATATATATTTCCAACCTTCGGAAAGTTAACTTTGGGAAACCATAGGAAACTACTTGTGTTTTATGTGGCTGTAAAAATGATGTACACGCTGTAAAATAAGATTGTCACTGTTATGTGGGATTATTATTTTAAAATGTGTTACTCATTGTAATGAGCATACAATAAAATGCATCTCTTGCACTCCAAACTCAAGAACCTTTATATTCCTTTCTGCTGCTAATCAGGTGATATGCACTCCTAATTTATGTACTTAAAATTTCTTGCTTACTGTGATTATTATTACACAAAAGTACAAGAAAAACCTGTCTTCAAGGTTCTTCCCAGTGCATAAAGTTAATTTAGTTTCAAGTGTCATGAAACAATTATTTCTTACATCTGCAGTAATTAGAAAACTTACAACAGTGATTATTTATTTTAAAATGGCTAAAAAGACACAGTACAATGGTCTAGTAGAAAAAAAATCAGTTTGTTGCTATACAGGTAGACTTAATACCACAATTGAGCCCAAAATTCATGATGTTCAATGGAACATTGAGTTTTGCCCTCATTTTGCACTTTTCTTGCCACTGTTAAGTGAATCATTGCAATTGTTAAGTTAATAACACAGATATTCAGTGAATCTGCCTTCCCTTTTGACTTTAGCCTGTCAGGTTGCAAAAGATCACATGACCCTCGGGACACTGCAACCGTCATAAATGTGAATCAGTTGCCAAACATCTGAATTTTGATCATGGGGATGTTGTAACAGTTGTGTGAAAATCACTTTTTTCTGTGCTGTTGTAACTTTGAACGGTCGCTAAGTAAGTCGAGGACTATCTAACAATAATAAAGATCATTTTTCAATCTCTTTTAGGATTTCTCTGTTAAGAGAAGTACTGCACACCCCATGGTTGCATCTTAACACGTTTGATCATGTGATTTTTTTTTTCTCTTGTCTTAATTACCCCATAATCCCTTACATCAGGCTGGAGTCAGGGCAGCTGAATGGAGCTGAGTGTTTACTGGCCGGATGCCTTTCCTGTCAGCAATGCGGAGTTAGCAGCAGATAATTAGTCATTGTGCCCAGAGAAAGATACCTGTCCCTACCTAGGATCGAACTCACAGCTTCCTGGTTGATCCTCCAGGTTTGATCACGTGAGATAGTAGCATTAAATCTTGTATGATTTTTTTTTGTGTGTGTGCTGACGCCGGAGAGGAGAGCGGGAATACAGAACGCCAACTATTCTAATTGTGAGGTCTATCTGGCAGATTACGTGCACAATTGGGAAACACATTGATTTTGTCACATTTTAAAAGGACATTTTATTTAAGCCCATTGGGCAGTTCAAGTTTAAATTGTCACTTAAATTTATGGTTTTTCCAGCACTCTTCATAGTCTTGAAATTCCTGAATGGCTTGATTTTCCCCTCCCATGTTTAATTATGCACACACACAAACCTCCCACACACAAACATACACTGAGGAAAGACCATGTTGAAAGTAAATCTGGTTTATTAAACTGCTGTTAGCTCAGAAGGATGCATTAGCAAGAATCGTGCAGCATGTCAAATACATTTGCCCGAAATATAACTTATGCTCTTGTGATTTGTATAGCTCAGCTACAAAATGTGGACCCTCAGGTGATTGCTGGATGGTGGAAGAAAAAGGGGCAATCAAAATTTGTAAGTGCCAGGTTGTGTAGCTCCAATTAAAATATTTAACAACAGCCAAAAGTTTAAAGTTGATGAGAACTTGACATCACGCCTCTACTAAAATTACTCGCACGTCATTCAATTGTTTTAAATGTCGAAGGAGGCTCATCGCGTTTGCACTTTTATTTTTGTAAAGAAAGGCTAGTCTAGTTCGTATGCTTATTTCGGAAATTTACAAGGCCACCAATTCTACAAGGACACGTGTTGTGTGCCTAAGATGAAGAGTTAATGTCCAGTTTTATTTACGTAGCGACAGCCTGAAGAAACATGAGAGCTAAACTGCCAAACTTTAGAAATTTGTTTTTTAAAAATTTAATCAAGAGAGTCAGTTGTATTCTTGTATATTATCGCAGATTTATTCAAGTTTGTCCATGTCAATTCCAAAAATACCTTCACCCGGGGTGGAAGAAAAGAAGATAAACATTACCATAGCCACAAAACAAACCTTTACAAGAAAACCCACTGGCATTTTATAGTTGCAAAACAGCCCTTAATTTTAAAACATTTTAAATACTAACATTTTCCTCCTTTGAGATATTGAGCAAATGATTTGAGATTGTGTTCAGAACCACCAAATACGACCACTTTTCACACTTAGGACCACTGCAGTATCCTCAGAATTTTAAAGGCACAGTCTGTTTTCCTACCTGGAATTTTCCCATTGGACCAGCAACATTTCTCACATTATGGTCTCTCTGCCAATTGGATGATGGGAAGTGTGGTCCAGCATCTCTGGAAGACGCACCTGGATTGCGGAGACTTATTCTAAATTACCCAACTGCAGTCAGGTGCCCTCTCTTCTGGATAAGACAACCCCATCGTCCTCAGCTTGGCTGGAGAAAACTAGAATAGGCCCTCGAATTGCTCTTTTTTTTTTACTCTAAATCTCCCAGAATCATCATTTTGGAACAGGCTAGGGGTCAGGGGATCAAAATCCAAACAATTGGCAAACTGACTCATTTATGATGGGGTCATCATCTGATCCCCTTTTGTGACCTTCTGACAAGAGAAGCCAGATTCACTTCACAACCATGTTACTAATTTGACGACTGCAGTGATTCCCTTAGCAACAGAAATTTGGGAGTCAGTTGTGGTCATTAAGTCGAGGATTACCTGTATTAGTTTGGCTGACTGTTCAAGTTGCAGCCATGCTGTAGATCAAGGGAGCCAGAGAGAGAGGTGATTGGCAAGACAGAAAATATGATAAATTCCAAGTACTATCAAATAAAAGGGTTTTCTGTTCTATCGAGGCTTGTCTATGCTTTTCTCTTTAAATGGCCCCTACATCAGTTATGGCTACACAAGATAGACGGACGGATGGATAGAGAGAGAGATGCCATATGTCACCATTTTGAGCTGCTGCTTAAATAGATTTAGCTGCCAAAGAATAACATGGGGGCTGATTTATTTATTAAATTTGTATGCCAGCCACCTCGCTATCCACAGCTACTCCAGGCATTCAGAGCTCTGAGTCATGCCTCTAAAATCCATCCTTAGTAAAGACATTCAATCACTGTTTAGAATTGTGAATAACAACTGAACCACATTCTCCATATTTCAATTCCTTTGAAATCACACCGTTAACCAAGGCTCGGCATTTATTTTCCCTTTTTTCAAAGCTATCTTTAAAAATGCAACTTCCAAGTGGGAGCTTGACCTGACTTGAAATTTAAACCTCAGTCGGAATTACTTCAAGGGAAGTTGGCACAGAGTTGCAGCCTTCAAACAGTGGGTTGAAGGCTTAGATTATCCGTGTTCATCATTATTATGAAGTTTATTGTTATTGTTTTGTATTTCAGATCTGTGTGTGTATCTTTCTGGGAAATCTTTTTGCCTTGAGAGACTACAGTATAAAGAACACAGCCTCAGAGCTATTTACCAGTTCCCCTGTCTAAAAGTCTAACATAGCTTATAAAAGCCAGGAGTTTATTTATTTCCATCGTTAGGGTTTAACCAGGCTTCATAGATCTGTGCAACAAAAATGGAGATAAAGAATATTTTTCTTTTTCCCTGCCATCTACTATTCTACAGAGATTCTACATTCTGGGCCTGGTAGCCCCGTGACTGTCAATCTGGAAGCAAAGTTAAACCTTTACCTCAATATTAGTGGCACCATCAATGCACCATAACAGCATAGGATGCTCCCTTTTGTAAACCAGTAACTGCAAGCACTTCAGCCCAAAATCTGAAGGCCAATTTTGAGACAGGGTCTTACACATCTTTCTATGACCCACCTACGCTATTTTCGTTTATAAAGTTAGTTGGTCTTTGGTGCTCTCTGAGCTTGGTTGTTTTCTTGAAGATGTTCCATTACCAAACTAGGTACCATCATCAGTGCTAGAAGTGAGTGGGGTTTGCTCTCTGCTTACGTGCAAGATGCAATTAAAAACCCCACTCCCTTCTAGCACTGATGATGGTACCTAGTTTGGCAATGAAACATCTGCAACGAAACAACCAAGTTCAGAGAACATCAAGCAGACCTCATTTCAACCCTGAGCTACAAGTAAGTTTTTATCAGTTAGTTGATAAAAAGAATCAAGAATAAGCAAGCATGCTGTATCTGTGCACAGCAGAATCTAAGACACATCTGCAAACGTGTCATCTTACTCTCCATCTCTCATTCTTGTCTTCCTGAGTGTGCATCTTCTCCAGCACTAGATGGAAGGCAGTGCAGTACAACTTCAACTCACCTCGCTTGTGACGGTGTGAATCCATCCTCATATCCATCTCTACATTCATACAAGCACGATTTTCCAATCTCAAAGCCAGTTTTCAACGTCAGGCTGAAAATTAGATAATCATCATCTAATTTTCTCTGAATCTTAACCAACTGCAATAGTAAAATTCCTCTCTCATCAATTCTCCTTCCAGTCCTCCTCCTCCACATCTTAAGATTTTAGCTTCATGCAACAAATCAAAGCGCAGAACGAAAATTTACCGTATTCAGTCCAAATTTATTTTTTCGGGATTTGACCCAATACACCACAGGGTAACTAAAGCAATATCAAAAACCAACCCTACACCCAAACGCTACCAATTAGGTACTTTAACCAAAGTTACTAACTCCTCTGAAAAGGATGGAAAACTGCTAGTGAGAAAACACATATTAAAGAAAAGTATACTTGTTCAAATAACTCTTGACTGCTTTCATTAATAGGCTGTGTTGAAAGCAATCTTAACATTCCTAGATAATCCCCAAGGGTGTTTTTTTCGGGAGGCAACGGGACTTTCTTGTTTTTTCTTTGAAGAAGTTTCGCTTCTCATCCAAGAAGCTTCTTCAGCTCTGATTGGATGGTGGGGAATGGAAGGATTTATATTCCTTGCAGACAGCTGGTCATTTGCATCCTTTGACAAGGTCCTTGAAGCACTTGGAGGTTTATCTGTGTCCTCAGAGTCACCTGAGTAGTGCAAATGGTTCCTGTAGATGCAAATGACCAACAGGCTTCAAGGAGTATAAATCCTTCCATTCCCCACCATTTAGCCAGAGCTGAAGAAGCTTCTTGGATGAGAAGCGAAACGTCTTCAAAGAAAAAACAAGAAAGTCCAGTTGTCTCCTGAAAAAAACCCCTCTGGGCCAACCATGACCTGGATGGCTGAGAATCTTTACAGATTCCTAGATACTATTGGTAATAGACTGAACATTTCCAATAAAGAAAAAAAAACATTTATTCAAAAATTATTGATCTCTGCAAACTGAAGCATCAGGCAAGTATCAGATATAGTTTCTCAGATCTTTGGAGTAAAAAGGGAGAAGACAGAGGCTAGCATGCATGTGGCTTCTGACTTCTCCAGCCCACATCCCATCCTGATATCAACACATCCATACATTGCTTCAGTTGACCAATGAAGTTTGAAAGTAGCAATCCACTGTTGCAGCCTCTGAACTTGTTCAAACGCTGCATTTGGTAGTGTGTGCTTTCACAACTCCTTCCAACCCTGGCTGATCCAGAATTATCTCAGACTTTTTAAGCATTACATGAAGGCAATGGGCAAGCGAAAACAATAACGCAATGATATTCATTTTGATGCAGAATCTTCTGATCAGCCACAACTTGTCCAGCAGATCTGCTCTTGAAAGAAGCCAGCAGCTCTTTAATCAGAAGTAAATGATTCCTGTTGGGAGTGGGGGGGAAAATAGGTCATGTTATTCATCACCACCTCTTTGCTAGGACATCTATCAATTACTAATAAATTATTATTTATCCTGAACTTTTGGGGTTTTGTCCAGCTAATCTAAGGAGTTGACTTTCAAGGCCAAATAGCAATTAGTAAAAATTTTAAGCTTTCCTGAACTAACCTGTAATAATGCTATTCTGCCATTGCCATAGGTGGTAATGAGTTCAGGAACCAAGCGTTTAGTATCGTTTCTGCACAGATAAAGGTAGTCCTTGACTTACGATTGAGCCCACAATTTCCACTGCTAAGCAAGACAGCTCTTGAGTAAGTTTTGCTCCAATGCAGGGCAGGACAGAAAAGAAAAGAACAGAGCAGAACAGAACAGAACAGGAATAAATAATGGAATGGGAATGGGAATGGGAATGGGAATGGGAATGGGAATAGAATAGAATAGAATAGAATAGAATAGAATAGAATAGAATAGTTGGAAGGGACCTTGGAGGTCTTCTAGTCCAACCCTCTGCCTAAGCAGGAAACCCTATACCACTTCAGATAAATAGTTATCCAAGATCTTTTTAAAAACTTTCCAGTGTTGAGCCTCAGTGGCTCAGTGGTTAGAGCGCAGTACTGCTGACTGCCGGCTGACTGCAATTTGGCAGATCGAATCCAACCAGGCTCAAGCTTGACTCAGCTTTCCCTCCTTCCGAGGTGGGTCAAATGATTGTTGGGGGGGGAAACATGCTGACTCTGTAAACCGCTTAGAAAGGGATGTAAGGCACTGTGAAGCGGTATATGAGTCTAAGTGCTGCTGCTATTCACAGCCATCTTGTGCCGGTTGCCAAGCGCCTGAATTTTTATCATTACAATCCTGGAGGATGCTGTGACAGTCATATCTGTGAGGACCAGTCCGAAATGCCTTTTTTCAGTACCGTTGTCATTCCAAATGGTTTCTAAATGAACGGTCGTTAAGTCAGAGATTACCTGCAGTTTGAATTTGGTTACTGTCCTCCCACGAACCTCCCCTCTTCTCAAATCCTAAGGCTCAGATCCTGAAGCTTCTGGCACCTTTAATGGGATGTGGGAGACAGTCTGCCAGGGAAGGTTACCTGCTTCCAGGAGTCTCCAGATTTTTCAATCACAATCGTCTGGGTTTCCCCAACAGCGGATGACGTAGTTTTGTAGTCATCTGACAGGAGGCCGAGGATGGGATAATGATTCCTGTATCTGGGGGAGAAAAGCGGCAGGAAGCAACATGTCAGCAATGATTAATAAGAGTTGGAAGGGACCTTGTAGGTCATCTAGCCCAACCCCCTGCCTAGGGACCTCTAGGAAATTTCAAAGCACTTTCAGCAGAATGGTTAGCTGGACTCCTTGGCTATTCAGATATTCTTTAGAATAAATGAGCTGGAAGAGACTTTTAACAGATTTAACAGATTAACAGAGTTGGAAGAGACCTTGTAGGTCATCTAGTCCAACTCCCTGACCAAGCAGAAGACCCTACACCATTTCTGACAGATGGCAGTCCGGTCTCTTCTTCTTCTTCTTTTTTTTTTTTTGAAAAAGTATTTTTATAACATACAACATAACAGTAAAACCATCTTCTATATATCATGTGCACAATATCTATAATCCTTTCTTCCTAACTTTACATTCATATTGTATTCTAATCAACATTCCATATCCTATTATCTCATTATTATTCTATTATTTAATTTTTAATCTCTTCTTGAAAGCCTCCAGTGGCGAAGCTCCCACAATTTCCGAAGGCAGCGTCTGTTCCATGGGTTGATTGTTCTCACTGTCAGAAAGTTTCTCCTTATTTCCAGGTTGAATCTCTCCTTGTTCAGTTTCCATCCATTATTTCTTGTCTGGCCTTCAGGTGCCTTGGAAAATAGCTTGACCCCCTCCTACTCTCTGTGGCAGCCCCTCCAATATTGGAAGCCTGCTCTCCTGTCTCCCCTGGTCCTTCTCTTCCCCAGACTAGCCAGGCCCAGTTCCTGCAACCGTTCTTCATATGTTTTAGCCCCCAGTCCCCTAATCATCCTGGTTGCTCTTCTCTGCACTTTTTCTAGAGTCTCAAGTAGACCTCAGATGGCATTGTAAGAGCAAAACTAAGATGATCAAAGACCTGGAGACTAAAACATACGAAGAACAGCTGCAGGAATTGGGTTTGGCCAGTCTAGAGAAAAAAAGGTCTAGGGTGACACGACAGCAGTATTCCAGTATTTGAGGGGCTGCCACAAAGAAGAGGGGGTCAAATTATTCTCCAAAGCACCAGAGGGCAGGACAGGAAACAATGATTGGTAACTAACCAAGGAGAGAAGCAACCTAGAATTAAGGAGAAACTTCCTAACAATGAGGACAATTAACCAGTGGAACAGCTTGCTACCAGAAATTGTGAGCGCTCCATCATTGGAAGTTTTTGAGAAGAGACTAGACAGTCACTTATCTGAAATAGTATAGGTTCTCCTGCTTGAGCACGGGGCTGGACTAGAAGACCTCCAAGGTCCTTTCCTAATCTAATCTATTCTAGTCATTATTCTACTATTATTTTGTTCTGTTCTATTCATTATTCTATTCTATTTGTTATTTTCTATTCTATTTTTTTATTCCCATTCCATTCTATTCCCATTCTTCAAAGCAGGACAGGATTATAATCTGTCTAAATTGCAACAATTGCCACAACTAGACTGAAAGCCAGCTAGAGTTAGTGGTTTAGGCATCAGGCTAGAAACTGGTAACACTGTGAGTTCTAATCCCACTTTAAGGACAAAGCCTGGGTGACTTTCAGCCAGTGATTCTTTCTCAGCCAAGAAAACTATAGCGACTAGTCAATGAATCAAACACACACACACACACACACATACACACACACACAGAGAGAGAGAGAGAGAGAGAGAGAGAGAGAGAGAGATATTATACATGGATTACACATCATCCTATTTTTAAAACATCCAACTATTCCAGCTGAGTTATCTGATGAAATATACTTTAATTTATCTACATTTACAGTAGAAGAAATTGGAGGGTACAAATGGCGTAAACATTCCTGCACTGTTAATTTGTTTCCCTTTTGATGTATTTTTTTTTGTTTTTCCTTTTATAATTTTGATTTTCTCCAGCTGGATTGGAAGACCAGTTTTAACATTAATTGTGACAAAAGCGGTGAAACCTTTTCTATTTCAACCTTTCCTATGAAATGTAATTATGAGTCTTAGCTAAATTAAACCTTGCCAGAGGGGATTATCGTGGTTTTTAATTACATTCCAAAACATAAAAAGACATCCTGTATACTTTTTCTCAGCAAGTGTATTTTTGTGCAATAAGTTTTAACTTTTGCTGTTTTGTTACGGCCTAGTGTTGCTTTGTGTTTGTTTTTAAGCATGCTGACGTTTGGCGGTGCTGATCGGGGCAGAAACATTGGTACCCATAAAATAAATACACCTTTTCAAGAAACAGAAAAAAAACCATTTGCTCGCAATAGCATTACTTTTTTGTGATGATGGTCTTTGTGATTCCTTGGGATGGGTTGATGGCTAATTTTTCTTGCCTCAATCTGAAGAGTTCCTAGAAGATTTAAAAAAGAAAGTTCAGGCAAAAAGACATCATCCCATATAGACTATTCAACATTTCATACCCTACAGTTTCTTTGCACATTCAGAATCTCCCTAATACTGATTAGGATTGCTGAAAATAGATCCCTAGTAAAGAAAACGTAAATTAAAGAGTGACTAGGATGAAATTCTACTTGTGGACACCTTCCCAGGAGAAGTCTGAGATTGCAAGTCAACTTCTTGGTATTTCCTGATCTTATTTTTGTCAGTGTATAAGGATTCATGACTGAAATAGACCTGGCAACAAGTCAGCCAATGGGAACTGTTTGGTGACTTAAGAAGTAGGATCTTTTGTGAGCCCTGTCAGACAGCCTGGGCATGGTTTAGCTTTGCTTCTGTGATTATGACTTTTGGATTCTGAGTTCTGATTTTGGCCTCTGCTGCATGGGTATTGTATATATACATGCATCACACTTTATATTATTGTATACTAACTCGATAGCCATGCTTTGCTACGAAACTATGTGGTCAGGCTTAGTTTTGGGGGGAGGAAAATAAGGGGAAAAAATTGTCTGCCTCTGCCTACCAGCATCCATCGGTATTCATCTGGCTAGCGTCCTGTCAGTGTGTGAGAGTGTTGAGGGCTGTTTGGAAACTGAAGCAATATTTGCTGTGTGAGCAAGGAGACAGCAAGGAGCCTGGGCGTGGCTTAGCTCAACTGTTCTGTACTAAAGCTGCTTGGTGCTATGAAAGTAGAACTGAAACGGAAACTCCTCTCCTCTGCTTGTGTTTTGCATTTGAAACAGATTTCTTTTCAGGTGGGGAGGGGGAGTAGAACTCCTTAGCATCAGAGCATGTTAATAACAATAATATATGAAATATTAATGCTCTGATAGTCATTTCGAAAAATCCTTTCTTAGTGAGCACCTAGAAGCCAAGAGGAACATATGTGCCAAATTTCAAGTTTGTAGGCTTTACAGTTTTGGAGATTTTGTGATGATGCATGAGTGGTATTTCGCTTTTATATATATAGATAGATAGATAGATAAAGAAGTTTCTTCTATAAATGAATCCTGCTGAATTATTTACTTGTGTGCTGGTTGGATTGATGCAAAGTCTGCAAAGTTTCCCTGTAGATGTTTCATGACCAAGCTAGGTAACCTCATCAGTGCAGGGGTGAGTGAAGGTTTGCTGGCCTTGCCAGTCTCAGTTGGGGTGTGGTTTCTCCCTTAATGGGTTCCTCGATTTGGGAGCAAGTCAAGAATCTGCTCCAACCCTCCATGGTGTAGTACTACTTACCTCCTCCTGTCGTTTGATGCAGGCCTCCCTGTCCTCCAGCTTGAGAATCAGGTCTTGCACCTTCATCTGAAGGTCAACATCGCTCCCTTGCTTCCTTGAGAAATCCTTCTGGAATTCGGACAATGAGCACTACAGAAACAACAAAGCTCATATCAACAAGTTGCCAGCCTCCAAGAATCCTTCTTCTGCTTGTCTTTCCGGCTGCCATAGAAAGGGGGGGTGGGGGAGGGAAGATTAATTGGGCTTTGTGGGTAGGGGAGAAAGTGTGCTGGAGGCTTGAGATGGTGAACTGTCAAACTTGGGAAAACTTTCTTGACTATGCTTACTTGCTTACTGTGCAGCTGTAGCCTCTTATCTATTCAGGCCAAGGTCAACTGTCCTGGCAAGCCAGATGTCTCAAACACCACCTGAAGATGCCCCACATGACACACATCTCAGATTGGTTGGCCAGTTTGAACTCTTGGGGGTGGGAACATTGAAGGGGTGGGATTCTACCAGTTCGCACCTATTCGCTAGAACTGGTTGTTAACATTCTAAGCAGTTCAGAGAACCGGTTGTTAGAAGAAATTACTGGCCTAATCCTGTAAGGAAGGCAGGAAGGAAACATTCTGGTGTTGCTTACAGAAACTGCTTCTCCGTTAACCCTTATTACATTCTTGGCAGGACTAGACTTCCTGTCTCAGGAACCTCTCTGGAGATTTTTTCCCCTCCTTTGCTGGTACTTTGCTTGTGTGGAGTGACCATTCAAAGTTACAATAGCACTGAAAAAAGGGACTTATGACTGTTTTTCACACTTACGACTGTTGCAGCATCCCCACAGTCGTGAGAGGCCAGGCGAGGAGATGCATGTCTCGATGTGAATGATGTTGAGTTGGCCACGTCCAGCCAATAACATGACCACCAAGCCACACCCACCACCTAAGCCAAGCCCACAGAACCGGTTGTTAAAAATTTGAATCCCACCCCTGGAGCATTGGCATAACTTTCTATATGTGATTTTTCACACCTATTGCCTCAGATCTTGTATTTCTTCTGATGCTACCATATCAACTTTCAGTAACAGTCCTTTTCTCTAAAGCAATGGAGTCTAAGGTTTCCTTTCTTGGATTTTGAATGGAGCCTCACCTGACATTACACAAGATCTGAGGCAATAGGTGCGAAAATCACATATAGAAAGTATAAATATAAGAGAACAGCAGAGTTGGAAGGGACCTTGGAGGTCTTCTAGTCCAACCCCCTGCTTAGGCTGAAAACCCTATACCAATTCAGACAAATGGTTGTCCAATCTCTTCTTAAAAACCTCCAGTGATGGAGCACCCACAACTTCTGGAGGTAAGTTATTCCTCTGATTAATTGCTCTCACTGTCAGGAAATTTCTCCTTAGTCCTAGGTTGGTTCTCTCCTTGATTAGTTTCCATCCCTTGCTTCTTGTCCTGCCTTCTGGGGCTTTGGAGATGTCATGCCCCTGTTGGAATCTGATTCTGAGGGAGAGGTGGAACAGCTGACAGGGAGTGGGAGTGTGGCTCTGGTGGCTGTAGAGGAAACTGGGGAAGGGCACAGTCTGGCTGGGCAGAGCAGAGAAGAGGTAGAGCAAGGGAGAGGGAATTCAGAGGAAGACCCAGGGCCACCCCCCTCTTCATCCCAAGGCACGCAGGGAGAAATGGAGAAGGGAGCAATGTGAGTTGCTTGGTTTAGGGGGGAGGAAAGAGCCCTGATCTCCTTCATTGGCTTCAGCTGGGAAAACTGTTTAAAAAGGCAAACTACGTACAGCAATTTGCTGGAAGCAAAGCGTGAATTATTTTGGTTTGTCAACTCTTATCTGAGTTCTGGTATCCTCCCAACTGTGTGTGTGCTTCGTTATCTTTTTAAGTCTGCAATTCCTTATCCTGCCCTAACTCGTTAATTGCTGCTGCGTGGTTTGTGCTGGTTTTTATTTATAATTTATATGTACTTTGGGTTTGGATGGAATTTCTTCCCTTTAAAAACTGTTCTTGGGAGGGTTTTTTCTCCAACTGATGATAACTGGACATGGGGGCCAAGTTGGAGGAATTAAAGGGACTTTACCTATTTTTTTGTGACTGTTGCTTTTGTGCCACGCCCTGGGTCATCACAGGAGAATAGGTTGTCCCCCTTTTCTTTGTGGCAACCCCTGAGATATTGAAGCACTATCTCACCCCCATGACTTTGAGTGACGTTGGATCCCTGATGGATGTCACTGTGCAGCTTTCCTGGTAACAGTGTAGGCCTAGTTGGCCACTATCTTCTTCTGGGATGCATTGTAACACTCTAGGCTAGTCTACACTTCTGGGATATCCATGTGGTTCTCTGTTCAACAACCCAGTGAGGTTCCAGGCCAGATAAGACCGAACAGGTATTAACACCTGTAGAAGGCCCAGCTCTACAAAACAGGAATGGCTTAAAAGAAAGTCAGGCATCCTTGATAAGGAACCCAACTTACCCGCAGATTGCGGATCTCTCGGTCTTTATCCTCTCTGAGTTGGTTGATCATCTCTACGTAGCGGCTGGAAAGTTCATCGGTGGTGGTTTGGCCCAGAGGATTGGTGGAAGCCTGAGCAAAAGGAAAACATTTTAGTTTCTGCAATTAAAAAAAACACTAACAGTTCTTTAAAGCAACCTCAACATAATGAGAGGTTTATTCTATGGAATAAATCTATCATCTATCTTTCTTACTTTCTTTCTTACTTTCTTTCTCCCTCTCTTCCTTCCTATCTTTCCCTTTCTTTCTTTCTTTCTTTCTTTCTTTCTTTCTTTCTTTTTTTCTTTTCCTTCCTTCTTATTTCTTTTATTTCTTTTTCTTTTCTTTTTTCTTTTTCTTCTGTTTCCCCCTCTCTTTATGTATGTATATATGCATGTATATATGTGTTTTTTCCTTTGCTTTTTTCCTCTTTCTCCCTCTCTTCCTTCCTGTCTTTCCTTCCTTCCTTGCTTTCTTTCTTTGTTCTTTTATTTTCCTTTCCTTTTTTTCTCTTTCTCTTCCCTTTCCCTCTCTCTTTATGTACAGTATGTATGTATTTTATTTATTTTTCCTTTATTTATTTATTTATTTTTACACACACACACACACACATATTCTAATGGGGATCCAGTTGATTGAATCACAATTCAAATGAAAAGCCCTTAAATTGATGTTCATGGATGTTCATTCCCAACTTGATTTTTCACACCACAACCTCCGATGTGCAAGGTACTACAGACAAGTGATCGCCGTATCTAATTTCCCGTAACTATGCTGCTTCTGAATCCAAGCAAGACTTGGAAAGAAAAGAAATCAGCCCTCAAGGAGACCAATTGGCACAGAAAGTGTTGTCCACTCACTGGTCACTTTTTTACAGGGATGCTTCTCTCTTTTAAAGGGGATCCCAAGCATCCACTGACCAAAGGGAAGAGGAGAGCTGGCTTACCTGGAGTCTCAAGTTCTGGATTTCCTGCTCCAAAGCTCGTTTGCTGTATTCCAGGTCTTTCAGCCGGAATTCCCGCTCGCTGTCATTGTGACGGAGAGACAGCAGCTGTTCTTCCAGGGAACGGCACTTCAGAGTGTATTCGCGGAGGGCTTGCTGCAAAAATACACCCCAGCCAAAAAGAAACCGTCTTAAGGGACTTTGTCACTTGGGAGAACCTAATTCCTTAAGGCTTAGCTTAATGTATTTGCATTGGTACATCTCTATTTTCACAATTCTTGTTGGGCCATGGTTCCTATGCGTCGGCCACCTTGGAATAATTCCGATTGATCATCCTACCATACATAGTGTCAACTCGTAAAACATTCCTATGCCTGTTTTAGTAGTTGCCACAGGGAAGAGGAGAAAAGGAAGGAAATCTGGAAGAGCAATTGAAAGCGAAAGTACATTCCAACTCTTTATCTTTAAAAGATTGTAACCAAAATACCAGAGGTTTTGCCCAGGAATATATTTAATTGGAGAACGTGAATGATGACACCCAGCCTGGGAACGTGCTCATCACTTGGAGAATCTGGTTTATGAGACACCCAGGAGGGAAGGGAGAAACATATAGGCTTTGAATAAGCAAGGTAGAAAGAATAATGAAGCTTTTGAACTTTAGTGTTGGAGAAGACCCTCGGGAATACCAAGGACAACCAAAAAATCCAATGGATCATTGAAGAAATCAACCCAGTGTTGAGGGATCCTTAGTGTTCTCAGAGCTTGACAGCTTTTCTTGCAGTTGCAACTAGGTTGCTCTCAACCCCCTTCTTTACTAGCAGTGATGATGTTACCAAGTAAGGGCGATGAAATGTCTGTAAGGACACAGCCAAGCTCAGAGGGAAACAAGTACCCCTTCATTTCAACCCTGAACTACATATATCCTCCTTTATCGGCAACCCAGAGTTCTCACTTGAAGCATCAACGTTCTGATTCATGCTACCCTACTTTGCACACATTATGCCTCTGGAGAGTGCTGGGAAAGATGTAAGGAAGGAGAAGAAGCGGACAACAACAAGGAGAATGTACCACCATTACAGTGGGGATGATTACACCATTGGAAGATCTGAAGGACCAAGTCAGGGCCAGATCCTCTCGGAGAAAATCTATGGGTTGCTAAGAATCAATATCAACTCGATAGCAGATCACCAGTATTGTACATGTTGTTCATAGGTAAAAGTAAAGGTTCCCCTCGCACCTATGTGCTAGTCATTTTCGGTTCTAGGGGGCGGTGCTCATCTCTTTTACAAAGCCAAAGAGCCAGCGCTGTCCGAAGATGCCTCCGTGGTCATGTGGCTGGCATGACTAAACGCTGAAGACCCACGGAACACTGTTCCCTTCCCCCCCAAAGTGTCCCCTATTTTCCTACTTGCATTGTTTACATGCTTTCGAACTGCTAGGATGGCAGAAGCTGGGACAAGTAACGGGAGCTCACTCCCTTACACGGCGCTAGGGATTCGAACTGTCAAAGTGCTGATCTTTCTGATCGACAAGCTCAGCATCTTAGCCACTGAGCCACTGCGTCCCTACATACGTACACGGAAGCTATAAAGCAAGACTTGATGGTTACGTCTGCACAACGTCGCAATGCTCTACATACTAGATTTGTTTTTCTTCTCTTGTAACAGAAATAGGAAATGTTTATCTAGCCTAAGCTAATCTGCCGGTTTGTATTTTTCTATCCTTCTCCCCGCCAACCTTTGCTATTTCCCCAGGATTTGATGTTCTTCCCCTTTCAGAAGAACGTCTTGGCATTAGATCAACCGATAGGTCACTACAACAACTGACAGTTGGACAAGACAGCCATTTCAATCAGGAGCCAACATTTGGTACCCACGGAGTGTGCTCGCTCACCTGCTGCTGACGATTGTTCTCACGCACAGAGGCCAACATCATCTCATATTCTTTCACTTGAGCTTCTTTGAAAGACAGGTCTTTCTCAAGCAGCATCTTGTCCATTTCCAGCTTCTGTAAAAGTCCATAGATAGATAGGCTGTTAAAAATACTCTTATTTGCTATGTGCAAATCGATCTGTCTGTCAGTTTGCCTCAGTTTATAAAATATCACATATTAAAAATATTCTATATGCTATATCCCTCCCTCCTTTTCCTTCCTTCCATCCTTCCTCCCTCTTTCCTTCTTTCTTTTCCTCCTTCCTTCCTTTCTTCCTCTTTTCTTCCTTCCTTCTTCCTTTTCTTTCTTTCTGTCCCTCCCTCCTTCCTTCTTTCTCTCTTCTCTTCCCCTTTTTCCTTCCTTCCTCTCTCCTTCCTTCCTCATTCTGCTTCTCCTTCCTTCCTTCCTTTCTCTCTCCCTCCCTCCCTCCCTCTCTTTTTTCTTTTTAGCACATTTGTGATTCAGAAAAAAAGTAATGCTTGGATCTCCAAAGGCTGAGTTTATGACTGAACCATAAAGTCAGTCATAACATATGCTCTTTTTCTTTTGTGACACACTGACACTCAAACCTGCCTTTGTACCTCTGAGGAGGAGTAGAATGTCATGGATTTTCAACAATAAGCTGTTGAAAAACAAGCCTGAGGGAAATGAACAAGGGAACCAACCAAAGTTTCCAGTGCAACTACAAACAATGCAAAATTTGTCTATATTAAAAACGACCCAAGTTCATAACGGCTCATAACTACTAAGTCACCTATTATCCATGGTTTGGTCTCAAAAGATTCTTCCAATTGTCCTAAGAGAAAAGTAACTTCAAGATTGCCTTACAAACTTTTGAGAAGTAAATGACTGACACCGCTTTGATTTCTGCCATGCAAGAAAGGATCCGATATTTCTACGCAGAATTTGTAGGCGTGTCACTCAAAATTCAGGGGACTCTCTAAAACAGGCGCCGACAAGAAGAGGATCTTGAAAATCTGAAATTGCTTTATAAATCCTGGCTCTACATCACAAGTAACATCTGGGTGCAGCTTTCCCTATCCTGACCTCCCACAGATGTGTTTGAAATGTAAATTCCAGCCAGCAGGTCCTAACACATCTGAAAGACACCAGTCCAAGGAAGGCTGTTCAAAAGCACTCCGACACATTCCAAGCAACAGAACTACACACCCCTAAGTCATCCTGAAGGTGTACAAGCTCCTCTCGAAGGTTGCTGAAGGTGGCAAGGACCAGCTTCATGGACTTATCAGCTGTTGCTCTCATCTAGGAAAGATGGACAGCAAAAGAGATGGTTTAGGATGGCTTTGGAGCAGAAAGATTTTAATACAAAAATCAAACATAGTTTCAAGCTTGCAACCAGCTGGAGACTTGGAATAATTCAAATCCTCAGCCACTCCAATGTCCTGTTGGTGAGAACCGGCTAGGTGAACATCTGGGAGAAATAGCATTTATCAGTTTCCCATCATATGATTATCCTTAATGGTGTCCATTCTACTGGGATAGATACAGATACAGATTAACAAGTTGGAAGGGACCTTGTAGGTCATCTAGTCCAAGCACCCACCCAAGCAGAAGACCCTACACCATTTCTGACAGATGGCAGTCCAGTCTCCTCTTGAAAGCTTCCGGTAATGAAGCTCCCACAACTTTTGAAGGCAACTTCTGTCCAATCGGTTGTCAGAAAATCTCACTGTCAGAAAATTTCTCCTTATTTCCAGGTTGAATCTCTCCTTGGATCAGTTTCCACCCATTATTCCTTGTCTGGCCTTCAGGTGCCTTGGAAAATAGCTTGACCCCTTCCTCCTCTCTGTGGCAGCCCCTCAAATATTGGAAGACTGCTATCATGTCTCCCCTGGTCCTTCTCTTCCCTAGACTAGCCAGGCCCAGTTCCTGCAACCGTTCATTGTACATTTTAGCCTCCAGTCCCCTAATCCTCTTGGTTGCTCTTCTCTGCACTTTTTCTAGAGTCTCAACATCTTTTTTTTATAGCATGGTGACCAAAACTGGATGCAGATAAGTCTCCAAAACCGATAGATAGGTCACCTTTGAGCTCAGAATGTATTTAGACCAACTTTGGATCTGACATGTCCCAAAAGTTCTTCTTCAGCTTCTTGGATGATAAGCGAAACATTTTCAAAGAAAATAAATAAAATAAAAAAGTCCAAATAAAATAAAGAAAGTAAGTCTAGTTGCCTCTTGAAAAAGCACCTTTGGGACCGCCGTGATCTGGATGACTTGAGAATCTCCATAGGGATTTGGATCTGACACTACTATTCCAATATTTTGGGCCAAACACTGAGACCATTTTTGTTCCAACATTTTGAGATTTAATTTCATTTATCTAGGATTTTTTTTGTGGCTTTTAATGATTCCCATCGTGAATATGACTTTTTTATTGCATATTTTCTAATTATGTCACATGAGGGATGGTGAAGTAGTACTTTCCCAAGAAGAATGAAACATCTGGAAATAAGGAGAAATTTTCTGTCAGTGACAACAACCAACCAATGGAACAGCTTCCCTTCAGAAGTTGTGGGAGCTTCACCACTGTAGGCTTTCAAGAAGACACTGGATAGCCAACTGTGAGAAATGGTGTAGGGTCTCCTGCTTCGGTGGGGGTTGGAGTAGATGACCTACAAGGTCCCTTCCAACTCTGTTAATTTGTTAATCTTCTAAGGAGGAGGGTGAAACAAGAGGCAGCCCAGCCCAGCCCAGAGAAAGACAGTAAAGACAGCAATCCTCCAGATTCTCCCAGAGAATATCCAACTGTTGTGATAGCAGTAAAGGTTTACTCTGGCAAGATTCTGTCTGTTGTGTGTAAGCAAATAAAGAACTGAACCCTGGCTGGATTCTTCTGTGTCATTCCTGGGCTGACATATAGTTGTTATTCATCAACACGGTATCCATCATAAGAAGGACAGTAAGTAATTATGTAATATGCATCAATACTGCGTGTTAGTGCATAGCGGTTTAGGAAAAAAGAGGGCTTCACAACATGAAATTAAACACAATTTCTATTGATTTCCACAAATTTCTCCTTACCTCCAGTAGGTAACGGATCTGCTGTTTTGTCGACTCTGAAAGCCCTTTAGGAATCAAGCTCTCAATATCCTCTCTCTATTGAAAACAAGACAATAGAAATAGAATGCATATTATCAGGAGTGCTATTTATTACAGGTTAATCAAATATTGGGTTCAACCTCACTTATCTACATCATTCATTCATATATATATAAAAAATAAATAAATTATACTGACTGGAGAATTCTGGGAGTTGAAGTCCACAAGTCTTAAAGTTACCAAGTTTGGGGACCTCTGTTTTGTGTTCTATTCTGTTCTATTCTATTCTATTCTCTATTCTATTCTATTCTATTCTAATTCTTTATTCTATTCTGTATTCTATTCTATTCTATTCTAATTCCTTATTCTATTCTATTCTATCCTATCCTATCCTATCCTATTCTATATTCTATTCTAATTCCTTATTCTATTCTATTCTATTCTATTCTATTCTATTCTATTCTATTCTATTCTATTCTATTCTATTCTATTCTATATTCTATTCTATTCTATATTCTATTCTCTATTCTATTCTAATTCCTTATTCTATTCTATATTCTATTCTATATTCTATTTCTAATTCCTTATTCTATTCTACTCTATTCTAGAAAAAGAATAATCAATCCCTACCATATGTGAAAATCAGTGTGATTTTCATTCAGGCAGGTTAAAACCAGCCTTTTATTCTCATTTTTGGATTTTAATCAAAGACAGCTAGCCACTGTTTGCTTATTAACACACAAAGCCCAGATATTTCTCTAAATTCTGGAAACTGTTCGGCACTTACATCATTCAGAGATTCCAGATCGCATCTTCTGTAAGGGAAATACAAGAAAAACATTAGCATTATCCTTTCGCTATCCACTGACTACATTATAATCACCACCACCATTGTTGTGGTAAGTCTTTCATTCTGACTTAATTGAGGAAAGGGTATACTAAGTTACCTTTAATAAAATTAAATGCCCTTTGCAACCACATCACCTAGAGACAATGCATTCAGTATTATGGTGGTGCAGTGGTTAGAGTGCAACACTGCAGGCTACTTCTGCTGACCACTGCTGGCTGCCTACAGTTTGGCAGATTGAATCTCACCAGGCTCAAGGTTGACTCAGCTTTCCATCCTTCCAAGCTGAGTAAAATGAGGATCCAGATTGTTGGGGGCAGGAGGCTGACTCTGTAAACCGCTTAGGGAGGGCTGTAAAGCACTGTGAAGCAATTTATAAGTCTAAGTGTTATAGCTTCCTTCCTTCCTTCCTTCCTTCCTTCCTTCCTTCCTTCCTTCCTT